GGAAAGAGAAGTGGTAGACAACTTGCCTCTATGGTTTATTTTTCCTCTCCTTGGGCAAAGATTTTCTTTCGTTAGTCATGTGCCAGTTGCTAAATATTGCTTAAACTGAGCGCCTTCCCATCAAAACTTCCTGACTTTCACACAAGGTAAGGGTTGGCTGGGTGACCTAGGTGACTTCCAAGGGTCTCTCTTGACTTAAATTTTCCTGTAATCATCTGTCAGCCAGAATATTTAGGAGAATCAGGAGCTAACAAAGAAAGGGGTATCACAGTTCCCTCCACATGCACATTCTCCACAACTTCATCCTCTTTTTACCATGACCTGTACGCTGCCTCTGCTCTGCCTTGTTCTCATGAAGCAGCTAGCTAAAACATCAGAAGTAAAACAAACATGCTGTAAGACTCAGAAGGCAGATCAGAAGAACCTTATGTTTATTAGTTTGAGATGGTTGAAAAAGTAACATGAAAAAAATCTGTCACAAAACAAAACTTTTAGGAGCACAGTAATTCTGAGCATTTGGAGCTCTGAGTTAAGGAACTTTTTGTTTTATGTTAAAAAAAAAATAGTAAAACATTTTGACATAGTAAAAGTACTTTGACAATAAATCATGATTTACATCAAGGATTTTCCATAGTGTAAATTTTGTTGAATTGCCATCAAAATGATTGGGTTCCTTTGAAATGTCTGAAAATTAATGAAGAAAGCTGTTCTGCTGAGAATTTTCGTGCAGCGCTAAGTAATTAATTTTTCGATACAAGGATATGTAGCCCAAATCAAAGCCCAAGTCAAGATTATAGGCTTAATGTGGGTAAAAGATGTTTTAAATGAGATTAATGTGTTACTGAGGAACCAAACTCTCGAAGAGTTTAAAACAAGTTTGTATATGGATATGTATACATCACCTGGGGCTATAAGTGTCCAAGTTGTGGCTGTGTGATCCAGGCCAGGCCCAGAAGCAGTGTGACTGTTTTGGGCTGGTTCACTATTTTGCCTGAAGTTATTAACCCTAACACAATCCTAGGCTAATATTTAAATTAACTTATTCAGCATTAACTCTTTTTTTTCTTTTTTTCTTTTTTTTTATAAGAGCCTTTTCATTGTGCCATGTAAAACTACTATGCTTATCTTTTTTTTCTTTTTTTTTATCCCCCGCATTGTGAAAAACGAGACGTAAATATGTAAACACTCCTGTCTTCAAAAAGTGTCTGAGAACATACTGAGAAATTACATAGTCCTTGTTTTCTTTTGGGTCATATGGGAATCCTTTCTAGAAGGAGAGAGAGATGAGGAATGAGGAATGTGAATGCTCTACTGGCACAATGCCGTAGGTCATTACTCTGCTGGAGTGTCTTGGACTGACAGAATGAACAAGTGGAAGCTACAGGTTTCTGTGATGAACAGAGCAAGTGACAATTCTATGGTTTCTTTTTTTGGAAAACAACATTTCTTAAATTACCTTTACTGTTTTTGCTGCAAGAACATTTTTAGTAGACACTTTGTTACATCTGTTACAGTCAGATGAAACTGAAAAGTATTGCTGTCCCAGTGAATACATGTTAATTTAGTAGGACAAAAACATTTTTATTCAGTGTTCAAGTATTTGCAGTTGACCAAAACAGGTATTTTGAAGTAAATGCAAAGAAAATATTGAAAGCTGCTTAAAATTTGACATGGAAAGTAGCAGTACAACTCAATTCCTGCACCTCTAGAGGTACATAACAATACTGGGGTCATTTATTACTTTCTTAGGAATAGATCCTTGACCTCAAGAGTCATCTTTCATAGCAAAGAAATTGATTTAATTTCTCTCTCCATTTAACCTTTGATGTTGCTACTGAAGCTGCCAACAAAGGTGCCTGCTGTAATGTGGATGTATCCTCTGGGGAAAAGGGACAGATGGTAACAGAATCTTGTACCAACAGTCCAGCCTGTATCTGAACCCATGACCTATACATGAAGGGCTCAGTATCCCATTACAAATCCCTTGAGCTATCTAGTCAGCTGTATCTAATTTTCAAAAAATCCCTGTCTCATCCCCATTTCTTCATTCATCGTTTTACGTAAGTTAGGTTTCTGGTACCCGTTCCATCTGTTAATGCTTTTTTTTTTTTTCCCTGCATTTAGAAATTGCTGTCTACCCTCTCTTCCCATTTCTAAACCTATGTTTTCTATACTAGCTAGCATTTCATTACCTTTTAAAATGGGGTAATTGAGAATTTGATAAAATTGTTAATACAATGAATTAATGCAAAGTATCTTAAAAGAATGTGGCCCACTTTCATATACCAAGTGAAAAGAATTGCTCAGATTTGAGGTGATGTTTCAACAGGTGAGAAGGGATGAGACTGGCATAAAGATACTTAGTTATTCCTGAGACACACACACTTAATGGGGTAATTGCTAGATCTCTTCATTTATCTATTCATAGGACCTTAAGGCTGTGACCCAGAAATGCAAATGCTTGTTTTCTAGAGGTAGGAATTTGTTGTTTGGGGTTGTTGCTATAATTGCGTTTCTTCATAAGTCCAAGGAGAGATAGGCTTAACGTTGAGTTTCCTGTAATGGCCAACGTCTAATAATTTTACTGACAGCTTAGGCTAACCATCTACTGCTTCATAAGCAGATCACGTCAGTACTATATCAATTCATAAATTGTGTAGAATTGCCCTAATTTCCCTCTGAAGTATTCTGATAGGAGGATTAAGAAAAATGTTTCCCACGTGTATTGGAAATTTGAATATAGAAATAAGCTGAATTTAATTGCATTTTTAATATGTAAACTAACATATGCATTCAAAACCCAACACCTTATTGTGCAATCTATTATGTAAAGTTATGGTAACTTTTTTTTTTTTTTTAGCATTAGCCAAAAGAGCTAGTTATCCACTTAAAAAGACCTAATTCTGAATTTATTAAATTGGTGTGATTTCAGCTTCTTTAAAGCAGATGCGAATACCTGTCAGTGAGATGGTAACAGTACCACGAAGATTCAGTTTTCTGTAATTACCACCATGAGATGCACTCACATGAAGTGTGCTTTATAAGGAATGTACCCAATCAAGAAAACACTAAAATGCATGTTTTGCTTGAAGCAGGGGAGTAACTTTGTTCCTTTTCAGGAGGGCTCCAGAGCATGTGTTTAACCTGTCAGAACATATGTAAATACCTTGTATACATTGTAAACATAGAGACAGTGCTGAGTCGGGAGGCATCTTTTCAAACTACTTAGGGCTAACCCAACTTTATTGTGACAGGATCATGAAATCCTGCATGCAGAGTTCACTTTAAAACATTAGGTTATAATGTTATCAAATCACTGTATACTCCTCCAGTCTGCCAGTGCTTTCAGTCCTTTTAAAACCCCGGTACGGTTTTCCTGTCGCTTTCAGGTACGGAAGCTTTTCGTGGCGTTGGACCAAAGAAAGAAGATAAGCAGCCGCGTGCTGGCTGCCAAGGTAGAAGCGGAGCGGAGAGAGCGGCAGAGGCAGCGGGGCTGCGGGTAGCTGCGGGGAAGGACCACACGGAGGAGCAGCCCTGCAGCGCTGAGTCAACGCGGGAGCCGCACGCCCAGCGCGCGGCGAGAGTGGGCAGGCCTCCTCCGGGCTGCCTGTCGTCTGGGGATGCTGCTAGAGAGAGCAGTTTGCAGCAAAGACAGCTCTCTGAGGATGTGGGAAAAATAGGAGAGGCAGCTGGGGAGCCTGGGGTTAAGCTCTCCGTTGAGCCAATGGTAGATACTTTGCTTTTAACAGATGCTGATTTTATGCCTACTGATTTGCTTTCTGCTGATGAAGATGTACAAGCTGATCGAAATCTGCTCACATCAAAACATGTTGCTGGCTCTTCAGAGACTGCTGGTGGCCAGCTAGGAAATAGTGATGTAAACCAACAAGAGAAACAGCTTGATGATGATGGAAAATCTCCACAGGACAGAACTGCATCAAACATGTGCCCTGGAAGTAATAAAGTGTCTGAGCATGAGAGTGCTTCCCATTCACGAGTATGCAAGGAAATACAGAAAACAGCAGGACAGGGGGAGGAGGTAAATTATGAAGAACAAGAAGATTTCTTTCTCAGATTTTTAAATGGTAACATTATAGACTCTGAAGAACCGTTTGCAAACTTAGAAAACCAAGAAGACTTTGACACTGTTCCAGATATTTCACCTGAACGATCATCTTACAGCTCACTGGAGGCTTTGTCATTAGATGACAGCTTTTCCTCTCTTGATGAACTTGCAAGAAGGATAGAGATTGCTGAGGTAAGTACTGTGAATCCTGTAAAACCTGTCATTAATTTCACTTTATCACTGTTTCATGTTTTAGAGTATTGCCTTCTTTAAAATATGCCTATAAATATGCTAAATATTTCTTCATATAGCACTTTTTTAATATGATAAAAGTCTACTTATTTATTTGTTCTAAACTGATTTGGAAAAAAGTTCCTGTTGATTTCCCTCTTGCCCAGTAGTGCTGTTTCTCTAAAAATCAGATAGATTTTGCATATTAGTATGAAACACTGTTTTTTGGATTTTTTTTTTTTTTTCCCCTGAGACTTTTAGGAGAAAAGCTGAAAATTCCTGGTAACTTTTAACTTTATGTGAGAGATCTGCATAGTGCAAATGATTTAGCATACAGTTAATTCTGCTCACAGAATAAAATTTGTCTTGCCATGCCTGTTCCCATGGACAAAAAAAAGAAAAGAGGAACTACATATATAATAAGCTGTGTATATTCATGTATAAGCAAATTTTTCCAAGTTTAGGCAATTTTGTTGTTCAACCAAAAGTAAGAAAGAACTTCTAAGTTTGCATCTACCTTCCTAATGTATGACTCACTAATAGACCACAGCAAAGATGAGAACTTCTAAAGCTAAAATGCTCTTCTAAAAATACAGATTTTCAGTGTTACTTGGGGACTTGTTTAGGGACTATGTGATGATAGTTTAGCTTTGTTTTCTGATTTTGGTGTACTTGCAGCCATAGGTCTTTTCCCTTAAAGAAAAAAAAAATAAGACTGTTGTGAAATGATGTGATTCAAAATGCTGGGTGAGGGGAGGACTTGTAACACTGGTATATACAATGGTATATTTTTAGTGCATCCTATTTTTTAATACATTTAACAATATAGTACCCTTGAAGATAAAGCAAAACTACCCCATCTAAGGATGGGAAGCTAATGCACGGAGTCCGAGAACCCGTGATCGCTCAGGGCTTGCAGCCAAGCAGGGAACTAGACGCTGTGGACCCACGCTGATGCTATTACATCTTTGGCAAGATCTCCAGAGTAGGAAAGAATATTTTGTTTTTCCTCCCCACCTGAACAGCTTCCTGGCCCAGTTCCAAGATCAGGCACTGTGATCCGCCCCAAAACATCTGGACTTTTTAGGAGATGTCAGGAAGCATCCTTTGTATCAGGTTTGGGAGCTGGGTACCGGAACCTGTTTTTGCTTCACCTTCTTCTCGATCTGGTAGTAGCTATGCACAAGCTCCTGACAAAACATACGTGTGGAACTCCACATTCTTGTTCACACACATAACCAATCCTGTGCAGTAAATCCATTAGTATTTGTCACTTAGAGGCTGCTTTTGAAAAGCAGTATTTTGCTAACAGTCTGCGTTCAGCCCGTAGGGATATATAACAAAAGAGCAATCTAAATATCTTCCCTCAGGATTAGGTTTCTTTTGAGTCCTTCCATATTTTAAGCTACAGGATAGAACTGCTTCATGTAGAAAAATCCTAAATTAATCCTTTAGCAACTATTTTTAAATTGCAGAGTTTATGCCATCTACACATTTTAGATGATGGGGTACGCAGGCAGCATATTTGTACTGTTAGATAAGTTACTTTTGTGTTGGCCCCATGATGCATGGTGATGCTTTCCAGGGAATGTAGCTTCATTTCTAGTTTTGGTCTCCTACCTCTAGACCCACACTGCTGTGAAAAGAGGACCCTGGGTCTTTCCATAGCGCTGCTCCTGGCCTGGAGGCTGGGAATGGTGGGAGGCTTTTCCTTTCCATAGCGCTGCTCCTGGCCTGGAGTAATCTTGGCTGGGAATGGTGGGAGGCTTTTCTAGTCTTTCTAAGCAAGAAGCTTGGGTTGTTTGTAGGGAAGAGGGTTTAAACCAAGGAGAGAGGATGGAGGTTTCATCTTGACTCTGATTAAAATTTGTCGTATGCAGCATCTGGTGATGGTAGATGCAGCAGGGTGAGCTGGGGACAGCGCAGGGGCTTGTGGTGTGTCTCATTTATGCTTTTCCCATGTAACTTTATCGCTATCGTTATCGCCTGTGAGGCCTGTGAGCACCTGGGGCCTCCCTGGGAGACACTCGCAGTGGGGTGTGCGGCACCTGCCTGGGCAAGTCACCCCGCGCCGCGTCCTGTCGCTGGTTTTGTGTGGTCAGTGTTCTCTCAAACTGGCTATAACGTTTCTTCCTTTCTTGTTTTCCTGAAGCCTTCAAAGGTGCAGTGCTTAGGCTATGACTATTTAATAAAGTTGCTCTGTTTTCATGCAATAGTTCTGAAAGAAATGCCTAGAAAATGCATTAGCAGCCACATAAACACCAGCACAGAATCATTCTGTGCCATGTGACTGTGAAAAACAAAATCAGGCTAATAAATACATGGATCACAAAGACCAACATAAATCAATCTGACTGTGATAAAGCCTGTCTGGAAGCAAGTATTTCCAAAATTGCCACAGATTAGTTAGAATGAAGGAAGAAGCAAAGATTATTTTGAAATAGCTTAAATATAAAAGTGGTGCAGTGTGATAGAAATTCATTAACAATCTGCAGTGAGGTATAATATAATAAAATGAGGAAAGGTAAGTCAGTTTGGAGGCTTTGTTTGACCCTATATTGAGAACAGTTATCATACGTAGTTCCCTATTTTAGATCCTTTATGTCACTTGCTTGCAGTCCATCATTTACAATAATGAATTAAAGGATAAAAAATACCTGAATTCTCACTCTGGCTTTAAATGATTACAAAACTAAAATAGTACTTTGTATGTTCTACAGTCACTTAATACTGGATATTTCTTTACTGGTATAGACTGTGCACAGAAATGCGCAGATGATGCCTTCTCTAAACCCATGATGCCTTCTCTAAACGCATGTAGAGACTAAGTGGATACAGCCTAACGAGGAGCTCCAAAGGGCAGGCAGCACTTGGCAGCAACAGAGTTCACAAGTGTTTATAACCTCTTATTAGATCTCTTTGTTCTTGTCTGGGAAAAGTGACACACCAGCAGACAAACAAATTGTAACCCTAATAAAGGGTCATAGCTAAGGGAGCTTTCTAGTCACTCCATATTTCACCTAGTCATAATGTATGCAGGTGCATTTTGCCATATGAAGAAAAATTGGGAACATAAACTTTGCATTTAAATGACCAAGAAGTGCATTAAAATCTTTTTTTTCCCGAAACAGAAGATTATCGTTTGAAATTTCCTTGAGAAAGCAAAGCTAATGAGACAGCCTGCTACAGTAGTGGGTAATAACCATGTGGATAGCACTGGGTATCTATCGACTGGCAGCTGATTTGAAAACAGAAGTGAAGCTTCCCTCAGACCTCACCACGTCTAGAGGCAATGGCCTGTTGAGATCCCCTCCTTTCTTGTATGACTTTGGGTCCTGTGATTTTGAGTTTGCCAGAATTAGGTTTTTACCCTGAAATGTTTTTACGGTATGCTCTGGGACCATGTCATAGAGATCCAATTCTTACGTGTTGGCATCTAGCCACAAAAATTGATTAGTCTAATTACAGTATGACCTCTGAATCTGCTAGATTAGCTCCTTTCCAAAGTTGAATTAGTCACATATCAAATGTATGCTTATTACAGTGGCAAAGGGGTTTGGCGCTTCTAGCAGCTGGGCAGCCTTCTTGCGTTTTGTCTGTTCGTGGTGTATTTATGGATTAGTGCTTTAAAAAATCTGGTATTGCTAGAAATAAAACTGTAGGCCTGTGCCAAGTAACTGCCTAGGGGAAAAGAGCCACACAAGAAAATCCAAACAAACCTCTTCGTTGGATAGTTCTCTGCATTCAGACCAAAGTACTTCATGCAATGTACTTTTTTTCCTAGATCTCAGTTCACATTGCTTCTGGTTGCTGGGATTTTATTTATTTCTGTGTGCTGTGAATAATTCCAGTAAAGAAAAGCTGAATCTGCTTTCTGTAAGAGTTCAAAATCTAGGGCCGTATTTTTAGTGTGTTGTCTATTGTGCATAGAAAAATTAATACCATATTTTGGTCATATTTGAAGAAAATGTGGATAACGTGAGATTTTTTTGACTATTTTATTATCCAGTGCTCTCTAAAGCAAAGAGAAAAAGCAGGTAATCTCATTGGAAATTTTTTTGTTTCTAATTTTGCAGGCAGCATGTTAAACTTTGATAAAGTGGAAAACTTTCCAGTGTGAAGCAGAATCACTTAATATTACTAGCAGTAAAAAGAGAAAAGCTAAAATATTTAAGAGATTCAATCAGCCAGCAGTCACTGCTGCTTTTCTTTTGGCTGTTGGTTAAAATGCCACCATTCACCTGTGTATCTATATGGCAACTATAAAAGCTCCAGTCAGCTGATTTTATGAAGGCCAGCAGAGCTAAGTGAGTAAGCTCAGTTATGGAGATGCTCCAAAAGCATCTTTTGTTAATTATTCCATGTTTCAGTAGCCTTCTTTCACGTAGTAGCTCTTTAATTTAGTGCTCCAAAAGCATCTTTTGTTAATTATCTAACTTAGAATTTAAGTAAATTCCATGTTTCAGTAGCCTTCTTTTACGTAGTAGCTCTTTTATGTTACACACAGCAGTTGCCTAAATTTTTCCTCCTGAGGTTCAAGCCAGGCAAAGGCTTGCCTTGTTGCCAACTGTTTTAACTGTTCCCTAGTTAAATTCCAGCTTAAATAATTGTATTCTGCCTGTTTAAATTCCCCCTGCCTCCTAGTAGTTGTGGAACCTGTAGTCCGGCGTGGCTGCTAGGACAGTCCATGCCCTGTTAGTTGCCTCGGCTGTTTCATTAGTGGGAGAGGGATCTAATCCGCTCAGTTTGCATATTGCTTTGATAGCTTTCCAAATTAAACATACAGTAGAAATATACATTTACAAGTGCTTTAACTGTCTGAGATTTTGTTTGTAGCAAGACAGACCTCTTCTTAGGAGCAGTAATGACATTTTAATGACTGAATATAAGATACCATGTTAGAAACTTCTCAGCTGCAGTTGAGAGTATGATAGAAGATGTAAATATTGCTTTATTAAGAATTTCATATGTTTATATTTATGCTTTAATAATAAACTCTATCCTGAGTAGGAGGCATAGCTTTGTAGGTGCTTTGCAGAAAAAAAATTAAAATCTGAATTACATGACTAGTGAATTCAAAGGCAGTAGAAATATTCTAGGTTTGAATTGTGTATCATGCACAGGAGATGTTCTTGTCAGAGAAGCCTTAAAAATATTATGTATGGCATCTGCTGCGTCAAGAGAATAACACTGGGCACATTGATTCTTATTACAAAATCCAAAGCCCTTGCTCCTCTGTTTCAAGGAAAACGTAGGGAGAGCTGGGCTGCAGGGACTTGCTCTGTTCAGGTATGCAGACAGGGAGGAGGAAATCACAAAGCAGAGTCGCTGTGGGCAGGTGAGTGAAGATCGTTGGGGCCAGATTCCCTTTGCCTGCCTTTCACATAACAGCAATACCAAAACCCACGTGTTTCCAGGTGAAGCAGCCAAGGATAACGCTCTGCTCGAAGCTTGGAGGAGGCAGAGCTCGAAACACGAGCAGTCGTGCAGAACCTGCCCGAGTGAGCTGAAAGCAAACACTTGCCCAAGGGGCCAGCACGTGGCAGCCCCCGCAGAGCAACACGCACAGGGCAGCCCCGTGCGGGGCCCTTTGGGGGCAGCCAGCCCGCTGGGGCTGCAGGAGGCACACTCAGCCTCTGCACAACAGCAGTGGCACGCGGGCAGGCTTCAAATAAACTTTTTCTTTTTTTTTTTTTCCAAAGGACATAATTTGGAGCACCTTTCATCTCCCCCCTTCCAAGCAAATAGGTCAGATTAATCTCATCTCACACAGCCCCTCTTGGTTGTCATAATGAGGAAGCATAAGCATTAGGTATTCATTTTCTGCCTGGCCTGACAAATTTTCATGACAGTTCTGCAAGGCCAATTTAACATTACCAGTAGACGCCTCAGTCCAGTGCACTCCTCTGCTGTGATGAGAAGCTTGCAGACTCTTATTTCTGGTTCATTTGTGCCAAATGATAGTCCTCCCATATATAATGACTTAATTTCTTTACACTCCCTCCACATTTTCACTACTATAAATGTTTTCATTGCATTGTTTCATTAAATAAAACATTGAAGCTCATGTGTAGATAATCAAAATATCAATGAGAAAGTAAACATCTAAAGGGTTAGAGATCAATTTTATCCTCTTAGTTGCATTTTTGGGAACAGTATTTACACTCTGGGCGTATGTCCTCAGTGACTCAATTACTTTCCAGGTGAGAGGTATAAAATACTGCCATAACAGAGACATGCAGATTTAATTGCTGCCTTTACCAGTGAGATCATTGCAACCCCCCGATGCCATAGTTGGTACAGTGCACATGGGATTGTGCTATCCGTTTCCCGGAGTTCAAAGCGCCTTCTCTGTGATTACAGCATGCATTGATGCATTATATAAGCTTACATAAGGGTGAAGCCAGTCAAGGGGCACACGTCCTGCAGCCACTCGCACAGCCCCGACCGCGGCAGTACCAACAGGCTCTTTGGCATGGCCATCTGATTAGATTAGATTACGGGCTGGAGCCTCCCTCTTATGCCTGTGCGTTCCCATACTAGCTTATTGTCTACCCCGGGGAACCAGTCACTGCGCTGAAAAATTAATCTCATAATGCGCATTTGATAGTCTCTGCAGAATTATGCCTTCAGAGAGGCAAATGCCATGTGTCACTGACCCCTTATTGCCCTCCAATAGCAGCAGTTTTGAGCTGAACCCTCCTCACCAGTGCTCCAGCTCCTATGATTTATTAACATCCACTTGCAAAGGAGCTGTCGCAATGAACAGAAAGCAGGTTCCAAAGAGGCTACCTGTTGAACTTGCAGAGTAATTAAGGACAACTGGTACCATCTTAGCCACCTCCTAGGCAGAAAAATGATAGTGCAGTTGCCCTGTGTGTTAAGAAATACATGTATTCAAGAAACAGCTTCAGAAGTGCTGCCACAACACTTTTTTTTTAAGAAAAATAGAACGGAAACCATTCGTGTGGTGTTTATCATATTTCTTCCTCAATGCCATTGTCAAACAGATCTCAGGCTTGGATTTCTGACATATGTTGTGCCACTCACTGTCCAACAATTTTGATAATCTTTCCTGATAGATTGCTCCAGCGGAAGGTTTGGTGTCTATACTAAAGAAGAGAGATGACGGGGAAGGAAAAACAATTGCTCAAGTTCAGCAAAGACAAACAAAGAGAAGAGTGCGATTCCAGGAAATGGAAGACACATTAGATCAAGGTATTCTAAAGCTATTAACTCATGGAATACGTTCTTGGGGTGCAAGTGAAGCTGACCTTTTTGCTCACAAGAGCAATGTGGACATTCAGCGCACGTACATACTTTCTTGGCTTTTAACAACTTAATGAAGAAATAGGTACAGGGTGATTGATCAAAGATTATTTTGCACCAGGTTTGGGTAACAAGAATGCATGAGGACATAGTAAGTACATTTCCCTTTTAAAGATGGGTTAGACTGAAGCCATAGGGTACTTTTCCTCTGCAGCTGACTGATTTGCAAGTGATGTCTGAGGGATGTCCCTTCATTAATGCTTAGTGCTTAGATGCAAGAGGTACAGGTTTTGTCCCTGAATCTAATCAGTGCAGGTCAGGAGGGATGCAAAAGAAACAGGTCTGTTATGTTTTATCACAGATAGCCTTCCAGGCCTTTCTGCAGGGCGGTGGGATTACAGAGCCTCAGGTTTTAAACTTGCTTTATAGTTGAACAGCCATGTAAGTTTGCTGGCAGTTGATTGAAGTATTGTTAAACTTGACTGAACAGCTCATTATCTTTTGGTGGGCTGAATCACCTCACTTAAAATACTGTGTGTAAAATACTTTTTATTCACATAGCCTATTGCTGTTACTACAGAAGACATCATAATAGTAGCTGCATTAGAAGTCATTCTGTCTTTAGGTAGCAGGGGCAGATAAAAAACTTGTTTTCCACATAAACCAAGGATTTTCTTTTCTCACTTTGAAGAAATTACTGCTTTTCCTCATGTTGTCCTTCAACAGCAGATCTAATCACATTTGCCGAGATCATCTAAACCAAAGGAAACCATAATGTACATGTCATGATGAAGCAGCAACTTTAAACTTAAGGGTTTTCTTTTTACCCTTTGGAGTGGTAATTCCTGGCTTATGGTTGTTGCTAGTGGCATACATAACCAGCTTTGCTGCTTCTCCCTGTGGGATATACCAGGAGACAGAGTTTGCCTCCATTTTTCCACCTTGAAGTGCTGAAGGTTGTTGGTTCCCCACAATACCCTGAAAAAGAGGGAGTTTGCAAGTGATCTGGGGACAGTGAGGTGAGTCTTGGTAATAGGAGACTTTCCAGACATCCTAAATCAACATAAGCTGTGATTGAGGTGAAGCCATTTCTTTGCTTTCGTAAAATGCCTTTCTTAAGGCATTTTGGTTGTGCTGAAATTAAAGGAAGTGCAGAATTTTGATCTATACTGGAAGGTAGCTTCTTTCATATGCTTGGCAGGATGTTTGGGAGCACATGCAGGAGGGGATCCCACTCACATCTGAAACTTCAAGGAAATCAAACCTGACCACTGGTTGTGAAAGAAAAATATTCCAATTTCACATAAAACATTTTCTACATTTTGAAAAGCAAAACAGAAGAGTTATCTCCATCTCCATTGATAGACTTGTCTATCAACGTCTGTTTTCCCCCTCTTCGACAAGATTTACAGTGGAATCTTAAAAACTAGTAAACTGTAGAATATGGGGACCCATAGGAATATCAGCTTTAATAAGGCGTTGATTTCCATTGTTCCTTTAGCCTACCCTTGAGATTTTGCCTCTATTCTTGCAGTGAAAATGTGGGAGTAAATACAAACTGTTCACTCAAGTGCATTCAGTCACAGTACAACCGAACAAAGAATGTGTCCATTTGTTTTATTTTCAAAGCTTTAATCTCATTTCAGGTATTTCCACGAGAGAAGGCTTTGGTTGTGCCGACATTCTCCTATTTACGTTGTTGTGCTCCAGTATAGTGTAACTCCACAAGCAAGATAAGCCAGGAGAGGTGAACAGGTTGCAGAAGTGAAGCTACATAGTTACTCGAGTTTAGAAGGGTGATTTGTTTCCACCCAGGCAGCGATACATACAGTTCTTGGGATGGATTATTGTCACTTTGACATGTTGAGCATCGGTGTGCGAGTCTACCTCCTGACCAATTTGTGGACCAAACCCATCTCAGATTTCTCACAAGCATTTATATTGTTTTGGACATTGTCCTTTTTCACATGTTCTGCTTTTGCATTTGCAGATGAAGTGGCTGGCGGCTCCTGCATTTTGCTGATCCTGCTCTGCATAGCAACTGTTTTCCTTAGCGTTGGAGGAACTGCCTTGTACTGCACTTTTGGTGACATGGAATCCCCTGTGTGCACAGATTTTGCAGCCAACATGGACTTTTATTATACACAGATATTGCAGCGTATGGAGGAACTTAAACACTGGATAGCCTTCTCGTAGCAGAAATGGGCAGAGACAGCACGCTAAGAGCCCACCCACGATTACTGGTAAAAGAAAAAAAAAAAGTGACTTCAAGTTCTCTATAACACTTGCCACCTTCAGCTGATGTATATTTGGTTATGTACTCATACTTTTACTTATTAATCAAGAAAAGTCCTAGTTTAGCAATCAGGTGGCAAAATGTTCACATCTTAAGCTGTAGCAGTGTGGTGTGGGAGAGCAAAAAGTCATTCTCGTCACCATTTTGAGCAGCTTTTCAACATCTCGAGCAAGTGAAGAAGAAAGAAGAAAATTAACTTATCTTCTATCTGCTCTCCCATTGCCACACATTGTGTAAGCAATCTCTGGAAGCTTAGTAAAAGGACATCTTTGATTTACAGCTGTTTGTGCAAAGGTGTTGCCTCCAGCTATCATGCAATAAGTCTGTGTTTTATGAAAGCATTATTTTTCTTCTAAGTCATACTATTTTTCTCCATTTTAATTCTCCTGGTGAGCCATGTAATAATTTAGGTGGAGTGAGAAGAGTGCAATGACATTCACTGAGCCCTCGTTCTGTGATAAACGGGCTGACCATGTATCTTATGGTGAATATCATGAATGGGATAAATCTGCGGGCAGATTTCACTAGATTTCCTGAAACTTTATTCCCAGCATTGCGTGAACTGTTTCAGAAATAGAAGGTTAAAAAGGAAAATCATCGTCTCACTGAGCACAGAAACAAGAATAAGATATTTAGTAAAGTATTCATATTAATAGAAAAGTGGCTTTTGGTAATTTAAAAGCACCTGGAAGTAGGTGTCAGGCTAACTGGGTTTTCTTTCCAGCCAGGTCACTGACTTGCAGCAATCACTTGGTGCCTCAGTTTCCCCTCTGTAAATGGGGAATAATGATCCTTGCCTTTGTCTGTGAATATTTATTGGGATTAGGACCTATGTCTGATTCTCTTACACTCCAGATGAGTGCACAAGATCACTGGACTATGTGGCTGCGGCTTCTCTCAGTGAGGGAATATTACTGTAAAGTGGGGCTGATCCAACAGTAGAAATTCAGATGCACAAGAGGTTGACAGTCCAGGGCACTCATTGCTGCAGGCAAAGCACATTTGCATCTATTTGCCCCCTCAGTTTTGACATTTGTATTGTAAAATCTGTTCTCTCTTTTTCTATCTGCTATACAGAGAAAAGTAAAAAGAATAATTTTAAATGAGTATTTTTATCACGTGGTAAGGTGTTAGTGCGAAACGATTCCTTTACACCTCAGGATACTGCATTTGGAGGGCTCCACTCCACTCAGTGCTGTCCTGCTTACTAACATTGTATGATGCAGTATGTTCAGGTTTAGAATATTATTTTGTAAAATATTATGAAGTGAAATCCTCAAGATATTGCTCAGAATGATCAACGTTAAATGATCATGCTTTCTGGCGTTTGCAAGCGAATCATCCCTCTAGTGAGCTTGGCTGTTCCTAATGCACTGTTATACTTAACGGGTTTTTAAAGTTAAAATCACCTTTTCTAGAATAAATTGCATGTGTGATTTCTCTTTTTGTTTTCACAGCTGAGACTATACGATAGGGAGCCTCATTTGCAGCTTTGTATTAAAGCTATCAGATTTTAAATGCCCGAATTAATGAAAACTTTTGCTTTCAAAAGGAAGCATAAGAACAATAATTTGGCGTATTTTTTGTTGCTGTCCGAGTATTATAAGGCTGGGCTAATATAAAGGAGAAAGAGGAAGACACTTTTGTATCTCTAAGTGT